TTAAGGATAGGTTGTAATAGTCCATTTAAGAGATGAGGGAACTGAGTTTCAGGGCGTTAAATAAATTGGCCAAGCTCTCTCACCCAGAAAGTGCTGATGCCAGTATTGGAACAAAGTAGATGACACTAAAGTCTATGCCTTTATCATTTTATACAGTTTCTCTTAACGCCAAACACAAGCATTTGGCTTTTGATGAAGGATCGTTGAAGACTCAACCTTTAATGTGGAGGATGAAGCTATAATTTTGGACCGACAGGTGGCTGAGTTGGAATTGTGAGGCAGAGCCCCTGCTCTTCAGTCAGTTGCCTTTTCTATCTACTCTTAAGTTGGGAAATGCCTGTGATGAACCCCTGTCATTTAGTCCACTGTCACGTGGCCATCCTCACATATATTTTTCCTTTTATAATAGGACATGGTGACTACAGCATCTACTTACCTCTTTGAAGCCACAGAAAAAAGATTCTTTTTCAAAAATGTATCAATATTAATTCCTGAGAATTGGAAGGAAAACTCTGAATACAAGAGGCCAAAACATGAAAGCTATGAACACGTAAGAGTTAAAAACCTTCTCTTCAAAATTATGTTTTCTGCTGCCTCTCGGTTTGGGAGCAGACTGATCATTTCAGAATTTTTCGGGCTAAATGGTATCATTTCTGTTTCTGACATCTTAAAGATCTTTTTAAACATTCTCAGGCTGATGTTTTAGTTGCACCACCTACCCTCCCAGGTAGAGATGACCCATACACCAAGCAGTTCACAGCCTGTGAAGAAAAAGGAGAATATATTCATTTCACCCCCGACTTTGTACTTGGAAAAAAACAAAATGAATATGGACCATCAGGTAGGAATTTTGGCTAAAACACATATTTTGCAATGCTTCGAACAAGCAGCTTTGTATCCAGGTTAATGTTCAAGCCTTGGAGCCAGAGTCTCTACGTTCAAATCCTGACTCCCCTACTTATCAGCTGTGTGTGACCTTGGACAAGTGACCTAGCCTCTCTGTCCTTATTTCCTGTACAATGGTGAATAGAGGAGTTCCTGCCTTATAGGATTGCTGTGAACATTAAATTAGGTAATCCACATAACTGCAGTCCGTACATGTCTACAGAAACGAGAATAAAGGGCAGCAATATTAAATGATTTCTTTCGGCATACTTTTTAGATTTTAATTTCCCAGTTCTCCACAGCTGGATATTAATCAATCATATGCTGCCCCTATGGAAGGCAGATGCCTGGAAAGCTGGAAAGCCAAGATGCCAGCTCCTGGCCAAGAGAAAACACTCATTGGCTGTTAGTTGCTGATATTATTATTTAATCTATTATTCAATAAATTATTATTATTTGGTTGAACCAGATGAACATGTCCTTAAGTGATCATTTTCATGTATAAAATGACAGTTTCATCTAGTCCCATCTATAAGTTAAGATCACTGGTTCAAACGAACTAAAGTATATTATTTTTCATATAAAATGCAAATCATTGTTAAAGGAGGGCCCAATTCACGTGTCAGTAGTCAATGAAAACTTCCTGAATCTGCATACTCCAGATTCTCCCTCTTCCACTGCCCTTTCAATGGGCATACATTAAGTCTCTTGTCTCTGTCAAACACTCAACTAGCCCTGGTCCTCATCATTACCTGGACCTGTTCTCCCCCCAATCTTGAAAGCTCCATCATCTCATCCTATCCCAAACTCACCTCTCCCCAATACTTTAGCCTGACTATGTTTGTTCTCCTTGGCATCTCTAATCCCTTGCACCCTTCTAGCTATACTTTCTTTCCTACGTGGCATGTCCAGAAAGTCAGTCAGTTCAATTACAAGTATCTATAGCTCAACTCCCTCACCACTCTTATCCTTATGTTTCCTTCAACTTGCCAAGTCCTCTGTACTGAGTTTCCAGACACTTTCCTTTCTCTCCTGTTAATACGTTCCAAGAAAACATATGTGAAAGAAACTACAAAACCAATTGGTATCAATACAAAAACACGTTTTCCAAGCTCAGGGAAGCATTCAAAGCTATTCAACAATATTTCTGCTTGACTTTTCTCAGCCTCCTTTCTCATTCCCCATAGTAGCTGTTCTAAAACTTCTACCATTTTTCTGAAGATCTCTAGTCACTCTTTTCAATCCCAGCAATCAACAGATGCCTTGATTGAGAAAATAAAGGCCCTGACCTTCTTCTTCTCTACTTCCAAACTCACGTCCACCTTCATGTCTTCCCACCTCCACCTGTCTTAGAAGAGGAGGATTTGCTCCAGTTTTTAAAGCCGACGTCCCCACTTGAGCTCTTGTTCTTTTCCCATACCCCCGACCTCAACCCAGTCCCATAACTGCCAGTTTCCCCCTCCCTCTTAAACAGGTGTTTCTGCCATAACGTGACCCACATGTTTGTGAAAAAACTCACATTCTGCAAAACAATACCCTAAAAACAACAAGGCTTTTTGGAGAAATAGTATTAAGAAGAGAATCCCCAAGTCTATGCAATTTGTAATAAAAATGATAACAACAACAATAACAGGTACCTGGGAAGATCATTTGGACCACCTGGACAGCAGCCCAGTGTGGCTGGATGCTGCCATCATAGCAGATATTAAAAGTACACACACACACATACACACACAGAGGAAATGCTTTTAGAAATGAGAATAGGACTGGTGGGAACTGAGACAGTGATATAGATGGAAATGGAATTCTAAGTCAGAGGACCTGCTTTTTTAAAAAATAAAAATTGTAGCGATATAAGGTCTATATCATAATGATTTGATGTACACATACCTAGTGAAATGATTACTAAAGTCAAGCTAATTACCATACCACCTCTTCACATAGCTACCTTTGTGTGTGTGTGTGTGTGTGTGTGTGTGTGTGTGTGTGTGTGTGTGTGGTATGCTGTGGCGGTGGCCCACATACAAAATAGAGGAAGCTTGGCAACAGATGTTAGCTCAGGGCGAATCTTCCTCAGCAAAAAATAAATAAATAAAAAGGGAGCCACAGATGCAGGCAGTTTTAAACTTTCTTAAAATTCTCGAAATTATATTGCAGTAGCTAATATGAGGGGTTTTCCTTCTTACAGAAGGTGATAATTCCACGCTCACTAATCTAGCTCCATTTACCTAAGAAACCTTAAACCAGTGTTCTGAAAGTTTAACGTGCAGAGGAATGACTTAGGGATCTTGTTAATATGCAGATTCTGATTCAGTAGGTCTAGAATAGGTCCCAGATTCTGCATATCTCGTTAGCTCCCAGGTGATGCTGATGCCTCTGGTCCGAGGAACATATTTTGAGTAACAGGGATTTCAATAAGCAACACGACTTTTGCATAATGCTGACATTTTCCCCCTATTTTCAGATCTCGTGAGTTAATCTGAGTTAGAGAAACACACATTGCAGCAGAATAGACTACATTTCCAACTTCTCCTTCTCCATTACTATTTCCTCTGAAGTTTTTACTAATATTGCTAAAACAAAAATTCCACTTGTTTCTTCCTTGTCCTTTTCAAGCTTGGATTTACCTTTTTTCTTCCATTCACTCTAAAATTCTTAGGAAAACAATTTTTTATTCTGACTCCCTCTCTCTAAGTTTATCCTAGTCAAAGACTGTATCTTACTCATCTTTATATTTCCTAGTACCCACTATAGTGCTGAATATATATGATTAATAATAATTGTTTTCTTATAATTAATGCTTATATGTGCTAAGTATTATAAATTAATCACTTCATTTAGTCACCCCAACAAGATTATATATGGTCTATCACAGTGTTTTCCTATCTTTTTTTTATTATCAACCTCCTAAGGAGCATTTATAGACATTTTTTAACTAATCACACCCTCATGAAATTTCAATACCGCAGATATATTGTATATCGGTTTGTGTTGTTGGTAGGAGTGAATGTTGGAGAGGAAAAACCACTGTAATATCTAAGACTTTTTGCCCTCCAGGAACCAAAACCCCAAAGTCCAGTGTATTCAGCCCATAGCATATATATTTAATAAATGTTTTGTTGATTTAACATGTGGAATAAAAAGATAATATACTATAAAATATAACATAATATAATGCAATGTAATGTAATATACTTTTTTATAAACAAAAATATAAATGTTGGCAGTTATCTAACAACTAAATATAAATATTTTTTGGTTGAAAAAAGTTTCCTAAAATATTTGAGGGACAAATTTTGTCACTTGAATTACGATCATGTATTTGGAATATTTTCCCACAGGTAGATTGTTTGTCCACGAGTGGGCCCATCTCCGCTGGGGAGTGTTTGACGAGTACAATGAAGATGAGCCTTACTACAGTGCTAAGTCAAAAAAAATTGAAGCAACAAGGCATGACCATTTAAACTTTCTTAAATTACTTCAGGCTGTAACTTCTTATTTTTCTTAGTTTGATTTCTTTCAAAAGCCAGTCATTCATTTTTGTCCCAATGCACATAACAGACACTATATCACTAAACAGTGCTTTTCTCGTTTTTTTAGAAAATGTACCTTAAAGTAGGTGGCTGTCCATTTAAAATACACATAACTTTAAGAGCATTTGGTGGCCAATTTGACATATTTTTTTTTGTGAGGAAGATCAGCCCTGAGCTAACATCCACGCCAATCCTCCTCTTTTTGCTGAGGAAGACTGGCCCTGAGCTAACATCCATGCCGATCTTCCTCCACTTTATATGGGATGCCACCACAGCATGGCCTGACGAGCAGTGCGTCGGTGCGCGCCCGGGATCCGAACCTGGGCCACCAGCAGTGGAGTGTGGACACTTAACTGCTACACCACAGGGCCGGCCCCCAATTTGACATATCTTTATACCCCTCTACCATAGATGCCAGAACTCATTCACACTGAAGTTCTTCTCTGTAGAAAAGGATTTACTAGAGGAGAGGAGATCAAAGTGATTTATACTACACCAGAATGAAAAGAAACAATGGTTAGAAGTAGTGGCAAGTGTGGGCTGAGTAAGAACTCAGCCAGCTTCAAAGAGCCAAACAGGAATTTCTTGAGTTTATAAAGTTCATTTTAAAATACCAATCTAACGTCACAATTAATAATAGACAATCCTCTTGGTTCTGAGATCGAGAGAGCAGAATGTTTGGGGGGGAATTGATCTAAAATTGGGTGCCACCAGCTTAATCAATCTTAGATGCTCTGCTGGGGCTGAGGACTTATCAAAAATGTACAAACTGAAAAATAAACGATTTCAGTCAAGGCCCTTCCTCGGCCACATTGAACCAAGTTTGAGGATACATATTTTAAAGAGTGTTACGTTGATTACATCTGTACATCATATTCTTCTAAATGTCTAGTCTCTGCTGCAGAATATTCTTCATGATTGTTACAGATAATATCATTATGTTCATTGAGTTTAGGGCAAGAGAAGCATACGTATATGTAGGAGACTCCCTAAATGACTGAATGAAATCTAGTCATCGCTTCTTGAATTTGAACTGGAAACACATTGTAAAGATGGGATATATTCACATCCAGCATATTTGTTCTAATCACTGCCACCTGTGGCCAATTCCATGCAAAAAAACATATGTCTAAAATGCCCCCACCGTTTGTTGCTCTACTCTCCTAGGTAGTACCTCAGTCTTTCCTTCAAACCAAGTTTCACTTTGGATAAAAATGCTCCTTGAATAATCAAAACACGTGTAGCTATGCCACATCTCATTCTTTTGGGGATATCCTTTTGAACAAAAATCTACAAAGAACCTTAAGCTAAGTTGGTACCAAGAGCAACTGGTTTCACAGTTGCCTTGTGCAGTTGCCTGTAGAGCATTTACCATCACAAGGCCACCAGGAGAGATGTTTGGAAAAGGGGAGCCTCTAACCGTTAGTGTAAGCAGGACAGCAGGAGCTTTAATCCCAGCAGAGAACTCAGCCATTGCGTATACTGGAGACCCCACTTAAAATTTCCCTCGCAATTTCTCAAAAAACAGATAACTGCTCTCGTAGGAACCCTTAAATTTTGCTGTCAAAATAGGATGTGTGGTACATAAATAAGAATAAAAACCTTGATATGAAGGTCATTATTAAAAACCTTAATACAAAGACACTTAAGATTTTTTAAAAATTTCAACTGTTAGGTTGCCTCAAAGACTAACTGTCACATATTTGCAGGTGTTCCACAGGTATTACTGGTATAAATAGGGTTCATAAGTGTCAAGGAAACAGCTGTGTAACCAGAGCATGCAGAACTGATTCTAAGACAAAACTGTATGAAAAAGAGTGTCAATTCTTCCCTGATAAAGATCAAACTGAAAAAGCATCCATAATGTTTATGCAAGGGATTGATTCTGTAAGTATATCAATCATCACTTCAGACTGTATATTTATAATCAAAGGACACATTATCATGTTTATAAAATACCTGTGCAGGTGACCTGAGAGATTAGATGTATTAATATAGAGTTCTTTGAACATTGAATGGCACACGGTATGCACTCAACTAGTGTTACCTGTTATTACTATTATTGAAAATCCACGTTACTATTATATGACTCCTCAGTGAGTCAATTTCATTCCATAAACAACATATTTTGGGAATAGATTTTTAATTTTTTTCAGATTTGTAGTTGAGTTTTTAAAGTCATTATGTATAAAAAAAATTTTTCATTTTATTAACCTTTTAGGTTGTTGAATTCTGTAATGAAAAAAACCATAACCGAGAAGCCCCAAGCCTACAAAACAAAATGTGCAATTCCAGAAGCATATGGGAGGTCATTAGCAACTCTGAGGATTTTAAAAACACAATATCTATGGTGGCACCACCCCCTCCACCTGTCTTCTCATTGTTGAAGATCAGTCAAAGAATTGCATGCTTAGTTCTTGATAAGTCTGGAAGCATGGCGGTAAGTTTGTGAGCCCATTTCTCTTGGATGTATGGACAGGGAGGTGATTGAGCTTAAGAACACTGAACGCTACCTGCACCTGGGTTATTCTAAATTGTATGATGGCGGAAGTACCATCACTTCATGTGATCACGACTTCAAGAGGGGCAGTGAATACTGTAATCAAAGAACAATGGCAATAGAGTTAAAAAGATGTAACTCAAGAGTCTCTGTTTTTCCAGGAAATGGAAGCTTTATTAAGGAGGACTTTTAGGTCCTTTAGTAAAGCTTTAGTTAGAAGATCAGAACTAGAGATTGAAATATAAAAATGTTTTCTAGGTACTGGCCTGGTGGCGTAGCGCTTAAGTTCGCGTGCTCTGCTTTGGCGCCCCGGGGTTCGTAGGTTAGGATTCCGGGTCTGGACTGACGCACCACCCATCAAGCCATGCTGTGGTAGCATCCCGTATCAAGCAGAGGAAGATGGGCTTGGATGTTAGCCCAGGGCCAATCTTCCTCAGCAAAAAGAGGAGGATTGGCAACGGATGTTAGCTCAGGGCTAATCTTCCTCAAAAAAAAAAAAAAAAGTTTCTAACCTTGCCCTCGTTGTCTACTGGAAATAATTGACAGACACGAAGAAAGCATGGATTAGGGGCTTCTGAACTCCATTTCTAGTTAAGGGACAAGATCAACCAGGATAATTCTTAATATGGTTTTATCTTATTTTCAACATCTATATAAATGACCTCTTTATGCTCAAAGACACAGACAAAAGCATCTCCATAATGAAGATATGGCCAGATTCAGCCATTCATTCCTTCTACTATCATTCACTGAATGGTAGGCATTGTGCTAGGTTCTAGGAATAGAAGCCCATATCCTTGAAGGGTTCATAGTTCAATAGAAAAAA